GCCCAAAAATGTTATTTCACTTATCGAAAGATCAGTCCTTGCTGAAAACGTTGGTATAATGTTCATGTTCTAATTCGAGGTATCAGTGGCGATATATGGATTTTAATCGGACATAGTCTAAAGTTGCGTAAAACAAGCGACAAGTTGAAAAATCGATAAAATATTCAAATCTACATCAAATTCGACTTTGAGAGCTGCTACTTGTACATTAGTGTTTGTATTTTATGAAAAATAAGTTTAAATGTGCAGTACTTTTGATTTACCAGCGTAAACAAGCTCAATCTGAAGTAGTTTGTATCGCACTGAAAATACGCCCGTCAGCCGTGAGAACACAAATATCAACTTCTCGTTAAAAATATTTTTCGAATCAAAGTTAAACACATATTTATATTATCAGGTCCAACTAACTTACATTTTGACAAAGTTTGAGCGATTTTGATATTTCACGTTCTGCACGACATAGGCGATATTTACAGACAGCCTCTCTTAATTACATCTCGGGGATAGGTTATTACCATATCATGATCAGATTTTACTAAGCTTTTCACTACTTTAACTTTTTTCCAATCGTGAGGAGCATTCGTAATGAAGACATCAAGTATATTTTGACCCCTTGTGGGAACTTTAACAAGTTGGATGAGCGACAGCTGATTGAGCAGATTTCGAATATTTAATTTATTAATATCACCCGCAATGATTATTCTGCAGTTTGGTTTAACAGACAGTATTTGTTCGCATGTGTCTATCAAATATTCAATTAGGTCATTCTTATTATAATCGTGATCAGGAGGGTGGTATATAGTTCCAACATAGACATTCGAGTTTTGTGTGTCAATTTTTGTCCATAGACATTCAAACAGATTGTCCGAGTTTGGCATTATCTGCATTTTCCAATCATTTCTACAAATAGTCGCCACACCGCCCCCTCGACAGTTTGTTCTGTCTTTTCTTATGATAGAAAAGCCAGCGGGACAGACAAGATGATCAGGTATAATTGGTTTCAGCCATGTTTCAGAGATACAGCATATGTCAATGTCATTACACTTAAGGTCCGCATATACATCCATCGTATAACCACGATTCAGTGATAGCAATGATGTCTGCAGGGTTGCTAAGTAAAAGCGCTTTCAGTTCGTCAACTTTCGAAAAAAGCGAACGTGTATTAATAAGATAGTAGCTTGGAAGCCAGGAAAAACTACACCCTACGCGCCCTGGTGCGGGCTACTATAATTTTTTACTCTGTCTAATGCCAGACAATCTTACTCGTTAAGGGAGAGCACTAGCTATTACTGGGTTACATATTGACTGGCAATGCGCCCAACTTTAGTACGGTATTTACTCTGTTCAGCACCAGACGATTTTATTTGTCAGTGGTAGAGTACTGCTAGCAAATGGGTTAACAAACCTATCTGACAATTTATATTATTAACCCATTTGACTGGCAATGTGCCCAGCACCATACTTTAAGACTTACTCTGTCTAACGCCAGATGATTTTACTTGTCTGACTGTCAGTGGTAGAGTACTAGCAGTAAATGGGTAAACAAACCTATCTTAGCTTCCATTGTATTTATTTATTAACTTTACAATCATACAAAAAATATAACAATGATTGAAGGTATGGTCAACAGGACATGAGTCCCATGTGAAGACCAACCTGATATTGTCTGTTATGAACTCATCGACTGACAATGCACTTAGCGCCCTTTTTGTCCTACTTTAGGATTTACTGTCTAACGCCAGACAATTTCACTCGTCAGTGGTAGAGTACCAATACTCGATAGGGGCACAAGACCCCTCATAATTTTGACGGCATTGGAAAGAGTATATTTAAAAATAACAAACTTGTGCATATTGTGCCAATAAGTTAAACTAAATTTCTACTGAACTGTGAGTACACAAAGCTTGTGTGACATGTAATGGCTGAAGACTGTTCTTGCCAGCTGTTTTTGTCATGTTGCAATATTGAATATATTATATGTCATATTTTTTCAATAATTTCTATTTTGTATTGACAATTAATGAGAACTATTGTCAATAGTTCACATTCAAATTGAAGTTAATCAATACGATGAACTTTCCAATCACACATAAATGTTGGTAGAAACATCTACAAGTATTTATAACAAAGTGACTATATGACCGGCAGCCGGTCACGGTTTATCAAATACTAAATGGCCGGCAGTCTAGTGACTATAGTTGAATATAAAAACTTTTGTTTGCGTTAACTTTTACCGCGCTTGCCGTTAGCTCATACGGCAAGGGCGCTGCGTGCGGAAAGTTAAGCGCAGTCGGGGTCGCGATGTGTTTTGTCTGACTTAGCATTGTTTTTTCTTAAAAATTTTTAAACTTTTTTTCCCGACTTTTCTAACTCTCAAAAGGTTAGGGTTAGGGGTTAGGGGTTAGGGTTAGAAAAGGGTTTGGGGTTGGGGATAGGTTTATCTTATAAAAATTAAACTTTAACAATAGTCACTAGACTGCCGGCCATTTAGTATTTTATAAACCGTGACCGGCTGCCGGTCATATAGTCACTTCGTATTTATAAACCAGTCGGCAGAACTAAAGAATAAAGGCAATATCTTAATGTCTATAATCATATGAATTACAATATTTACAGCCGCCTACTGTGTGAATTTGATGATATTTAATCATAAACACTGTATTTACTCAACTAACAAGCAATTTATATTTACGTCCAGTCTTTTGAGCTTTATACAGTCGTTGCCCGAGCCTGTTTTGTTTTTGCCACGCTTGCTTTGTTGTCCAATCTTTTCCTTGTCACAAATTCGGCGATGTTAAAAAGTTTAAAATGGCCCTTCGGAAGCGGCATATTTTATCGGTTTTAACACAAAATTCAAAAAACAAAAACCATAGGATTTTAAAATAATAACAGAAGAACAAAATAATTGAGAAAATATAAGAATCAGACCAACAATAAAGAATTTTTTACCAAGGCGAAATTTGTCAACTTTTAGAAAATTTCGCGAAAGGGCGCCATTAGCGCGAGCGCCTTGAAAGAAGACTCCTTCCGAACAAAACAAAAAGCGTTACTATAGCAACCTTGGTATCAAAATTATCCTCACAAACCCCCCTTTTGACCCTGATCGGTCTCGCATTACCCGCAAACAACCGCAATTGTTCAAAGGTCAAGACAAATTGCGCAATTTTGGAAGTCATATTAGTCACCAGTCTTCTGGAATTTTTCGCACGGACTTAAAGAAAATTTGTCACACTTTTAATTGGCGCTTTGGCGTGCATTTTTGTCAAGCGTGAACGTCGACCAGAATAATGGTAGAAACTGTTCACGATGTATTCAAAAAGGGGAATGTTAATTAATGCGTAAATTACACCAATAAAGTATAGTATCATGTGAAGATATAGTGGGGAATCGAAATTGTCAAATATATACTAATGGAATTGCTGTGCATTACACGGAAGAGAAGCTATAGAAACAAGACAATACGCCATGGTTCTGGTTTTCTGTTAATAAATAGCAGTAATTGTTGCACGATTAGACTGTTTATGACGGGAGTGCCAAAATTAGCAATGACTTTATTTTACCTCGCTTACCTCGCTGTAACGTTTACCTCGCTGCATCGAGCCAAATCTTTTCGAATTAAAACAACTTCTGATGTTCATGAACACGGAAAAATCGCTTAACGGCTTGTGTGAAAAAAAACCCGGAACGACGGTGCATTTTACAAATGACTGGAAGCTCTCGCGTCTCAACTCCGCGATAATTGAAGGTAACAAATTTCAGAGGCTCTGGGAGTCTTCAAATCGCGGTTGGTAACAAGTTTTATTGTGGATATTGGTACTTCAAACTTCCCTTTTTTCAACCATATTAGTCACTGAATCCAGTTAGGAGCCACTTTTGAGAAATTTAAAGTCGAATTTGATATGTGTACAAAAGCCGTATTTGGACTTGGTGCTTGTTATCGCTAAAGTTTGCCATAATAGTTTTGTAAAAGCATCATAAAACCAGGTAAGTTTCAAAGTAGAATAACTTTCACATGCGTGGGCGAAAAAATCATAAAAGACATTGTGAAAGTAACGAAGACTTTCATTTTTTGAGCCGAGAGCCATTGGTCGGTTCTTAGAGAGATAACCTCTTAAATTCATTCCCAATCGTGCAGAATAGACATACAGAGTTTAGATTAATAAATATCAGCATTGTCAATTTGACAATAATTTCCGGGTTTTCCCCGAGTAGCTAATTTTAATACGAAAGCGTACCATGTTTGATAATACCTCGTTGCATCGATCGAAATCTTTTTGAATTAAACCCACTTGTGATGTTCATGAACACAGAAAAATCGCTTAACTACGATGATTTAAAGGCTTGTGTAAAGAAACGGAACAAGAGCGCATTTTACAAGTGACTGGAAACTCTGACGTCTCAACTCCGCTATAATTGAAGCTAAACAAAATAGCCAAATTGTATCAAATTTCAGAGGCGTCGAGTCTTCAAATCGCGGTCAGTAACAAGTTTTATTGTGGATATGGGTACTTCAAACTTCCATTTTTTTAACCATATTAGTCACTGAATCCAGTTAGGTGCCACTTTTGAGAAATTTAAAGTCGAATTTGATGTGCGTACAAAGCCGTATTTACACCCGTTGCTTGTTATCGCTAAAGTTTGCCATAATCTTTCTGTAAAAGTATCATAAAACAAGGCAAGTTTCAAAGTAGAATAATTTTCACGTTGGTGGGTCAAAAAATCATAACATTTGGTTGAATACTTTTAAAATTATATGTATTTGAATTCGGCTAATTTTTATTCCTGATTTAGGCAGAGGATTTTCTGCCCGACGGCGCGGGCCGAAAAGTAGCTGAAATTTTAAAAATTAATAAAATTTCAAAATTCCAAATAGTGTTTGTTTGTTCTTGGGGTAAATACATTTCATTGTGAAAGTAACGAAGAATTTCATTTTATGAGCCGAGAGTCGTTGGTCGGTTCTTAGAGAGACAGCCTCTTAAACATCAAATTCTTATTTTTTTCTCTCTTTAAATTAGATGACAACTCGTCAGGTAATCGTTACTATGGCAATCAGTTAATTTCATAGGTTCTCCAGATTATATCGGGTGTGCGTGTACCAAGTTTTAAGGCACTATTTATAGGTCTATACTTGTTTGTCGGCCTACTACGTTAACTTGGATTAATCTCTGCAATATAAGCAATTCCATTCGTTTCAGAGACAATGTTGATAGTTCGCCAAGTCGTGTGACATCGTGAAACCTTGCTGAAAGCATTACAAGAATGAAAATTACTCCCTTTTGATCTTAATCAACGAGCAAAAATTTCTAGTTACATTCCACCTGGATTTCGTTATAAAACCGTTATAACCGTTTCGTTATAAATGACACAACATACATATTTTCATGCATATTTAATATATTACCCTAATGTAAACCCAAATTCCAAACCCACAACTTAAACTGTAATTCTAAATAAATTGTTCCAATTAAAATGCTGATGTCTTTTGACCTCCACGACTTCATGTAAAGTTTATATATACAATAGTCCGATTAACATTTACCTGATTTTCGCGCACTAATACAGGTTAGACGTCATGAGTGAGGTTAGGTTTGAGTTTAGGATTCTCTATATTCGATAGCCTGCGAGCCTCTCAAGGGGAATTGAGAGCCTGCACTGATGGCATACAATTTTGAATATCTCGTCTCGAATCGGACCGCGAAATTCTCATTGGTCAGATGCTATAATTTATATGTTTCCGCTGAGCTCTATATATGTCAACTGATGAAGCACTATGCATAAAAAACACATTAACTGACCAAATTGGTCTTGGCCACCGTATCTCAAAGCACGAAATGTTCTGTTTTGAGAAAGAAGTATTTAAAACATTTAAACTTTTAATCAAAAACTTTTTTGAAAATAATTTTGAAACAAATGATAGCGATATTACATTTATTAAACGACGTTTCGATGCTACAGCGCGCATCATTTTCAAGTTATAGTATTAGATATATTGCGTTGATTTAAATTAAACCGTTCGTGTCACGTTAGCAAATTATTGCGTAAGCATGCAAAATTTAAACTTTTGGTTGAATATCTTATATTTCGAAAAACAGTTTAAACTGTACGGTCTAAATTTAGTTTACACGATCTAAATTTAGTTTGCACGAAAGCTGTAAGCAGCACAATATAAGGATAGACATTCCATATTTGGAAAAACGAACGTTACAGGGCAGATATTCAAAATTGTATATCATCAGTGCAGGCTTTCTATTCACCTTGAGAGCCTGTTCGCAGGCTATATATTCGAGCACGAAATAACGGAAATAACTAATTTAGTCTCAGTCGCACATGTTATATGTCAGAAGACTGCCTCCTGTGTTAGTTACTGTCACGAGAAAACTGCGTAACAGGGACTATTAAGTGATGAATGAGGATGTTACCGGACCTCTAGGAAAATACTCTAGTTTATAAGTGATAGGGCCTTAAACCGCAATTACTGAGGAAGCGATTTATTATCTGAGATGGTTATGAAAGGTTAATGGTAAATAGATAAAAACCTGGGTGATTATCTTTCCAAAACGTGTTTTAGTACTTGCACGATCGTATGCCTTTCGATTAAAGACTATTGCTTGCTGTATTTCCATGATTAGCGTTTTTGAAATGGTTTAATAATTATCCTGCATCTGTTAATGCTTCCCCAAATACTGATCTAAAATCAATCACAATCCTAATCTATATTATAAATCGCACCGAAATCCATTTATTCATGGGGAATATCACTCCTGGGACAAATTTCTTTTCCCCGCACATAAATGATCAATTCATACCCGTGGACATGGTCTTCCAAGTTCAGTGCACTTTCCGCAAAGTTCTTGAAGGTGTGGAATTGATCCCTGGCCTCTTGTGGGATTGTAGGACTGTGTTTTCTTCAGAGGTCGCTGTTTCAGTGGGAAACATTTCTGAAGTAAATCTTTTTCTCTGTGGCATTTATAACAAGCTTGCCACTTGGCAACCCAACTTCGACCATTTCGCCAAGGTCTGTAACATTTAGGGCAATAATACTCTCCGAAACACGGTTGCTTTCCAGTATAGTGTTCAAATGTGACCACCAAAGCCCCCTTGTTAACTGGAGAAAATTCTAACTTCCGTTCTTTTTCTAAATATTCTTCAACCTTTGGTCGGATCTGTTGTCGTACTTTGGAATGATGTCCTGAACCAACGATAATCTCAAGCCACGGTTCTTTATCCTCTCTTGCTTTTTTCATATCATATTGATCCAGTCTTTCTTGCAATTTCCTATATTTACATATTAAACGGAATATAAAAATACAGAGATACAGAAGAGGGCAGAGGGCTAAAAAGTAAACTTGGTGTTTTCTACAAAATAAAATTAACGATAATTATTGACAATAAATCTACTGCGGACTTACTTAAATCAGTTTCTATCTTGACTTTTTCGAAGCCTATCTGCCATATATTAAATATATTAAGATTAAACATACAATACCTTATAGCCTCATTACCATGTTCACGCTCTTCTTCGATTTTTATATTTACTTCGTCAGTCGTCAAGCGCCCTCGAGAACGGAGCTGCCGTTCATAAACACGGAGCTTCTTTTCATCCAATACCAACAATCCATGAAGATCAATCACACTTTGATGACGTTCCGCATTGAAAAACTGAAAAATTTCTTCACAAGCAGCATTATGATATCTTTTCATAAGTGCGGCATACTTTTCCTTGATTTCGCTGCAAAAATGAGGACGATCTTTGCCAATCCATTCTCCTTCCTTGATTTTCCTGTAATTTTCACTTGCCCTCATTTTCCAATCTTCTCGAGCTTCATCTAATTGAAACGCCTTTTCGCGGTAACAGTTAGCCCGAAGAAGATGCAGCAAAACGTTCCGACATTTCTGCATTTTGTTTTCCACTTCTTCAGGTGAACATCTAATTGTCCGACCTCCCTGTAATTTGTACTCGATTTCTTCTGACGGAAGTCTAATAAGTGCAGAATTCGAATCTTCCAATTCATCAACTTTAAGATCGCCAGACATGTCACAAACTCTCTTAATGTTATTTATATTATCGTTTCCAAGAATTTCCCTTTTCTTAACATCATAGCAAACAATGTTTAGAAATTCGTGCAACTGACACTTTTGATCATCATCATACTTCTCAAACCCCGTGAATGTAGGCAAAACTAAGGGATTTTCGATTTTAATGCCATTTACAAAGCACCAAAATTTCGGGCTCTTACAATCATTAACCAGATTTTTCATTGGAACAACAATATTATAAGATCCACTTTCATTTGCACAAGCAGAGACTTTTATGTTTTTCACCTCTGTGTTATCATTTTCCACTTTAATACAATCCTGTGCTAGATTTGCGGCATAACTATAACCAAAAACATCTTTCAGTTTCAAGCAACATCGAAATGATTCGTCTTCTGGAAACACAGGTTGATCTCCAATGTCATCATACTGCGGTAACCATATAATTGACGAAGAGCTGTAGTCTAAAGGAGCTTCTTGAACAGTGATTGAGAACGAAGTGTCCTCAAGGGTAATGCCGCTCTCATTTGCCAAGCAAAGATCGTATTTCCCTGCTCGGTTAAAATGACACTGAATTACGATTTTGTTGTCTTCCATGGACGTTTCCATACAATGAAGTCCATCAGGACCATCTCTCTTTATAAGATCTGGGATATCTTCTAATACATCTGTTCGGACTTCATTCTTAAAACGATCAAACAAACATGCTGTTAAAATCAAGTTCTCTCCTCTGTACGCATTTTCTTTTGGAATAGTGAGCTCCCAAAGAGCATCATTTTGATCAGGATTAACGTGAATTGGTACTTCGATTGACTTTTTATTTTTATCAAATATTGTCACTCTTCTTCTGCCAGCTTTGGTTAGGACGATTGACACGGAGATTATAAGATTTGATTCGTTCTTCATTATTTGAAAATCTACGGTTTCCTTGTATTTATCCAGTTCTGAAATATGACTCAAAAGTTCTGCGGTAAGGTTACAATCAGTAGTCGAGCTAGCTGGCAAGGAACAACCAAACACGTCAAATGGAACAATTTCTAGCTGAATCACTTTGCCAGCCACGGCAGTTTTGGAATAACGGAATTTCGATCCGGCCAGGTACAATGGTGCGTCGCTGACATGTATTTGAATCTCTTTTAAATAGAAAACCTGATTTGGACAATCCCTATGTGTCAGGGTTATTAATAACTTGTGTTTTCCAGATCCGCTAATCATTGCTTGCACGCGAAGTCGTTCATTCCGAATTTCTGCGTCTTTATATTCTATTTGCTTCTCCTTTCCTATATCGTTCGACAACTTTAAATTAATGTTGTAGTCGGAACTCGGTTCCAGCAGAACATTGTCATAGCAATCAACCAACGTTCCCTCTAAAATTGACCACTGGTTCCGGTACATTATTTTCGGATTGGCAGAAAAGTTCTCGTCAATTGCGCCATATGTTGTAAAATTTACGTCATTTAAATAATGTGGGGTGGAGGGAAGAACCCTGAAATGGATGTCTTTAGAACTTGATTTAGACCCAGAGTGCACGGTCAGTTTCACTTCTCTTAGACCAGCTATTCTAAAACATACAGTGACTGCAAAACATAAATTTTCAGCTGTGCTAATCTTTGTTTTATACACTTCTTCTTCTTCTTCCTTATTTTGTTCCCCTACTGTTTTGAGAGGAAGAGGCTGCACAACTAATTCACATGTTTCTTTGGAATCTTTGTGGACAGGATTTCCAAATATGTCGTAGAACTGTACTTCGAAAACAACATCTTTGCCAGCCAAAGAACGGGTTTCAACATTGTCATGAAGGGACTTTACGGTTAGGGAGGGTGAACAAGGTGGGAAAAGAATATTAATAGGGATTTGGTAGGAGCAGGTCGATTCCTTCTTTGATGTTAATCTCTTATCGACAAGCCTTACAGTCAGAAGCCCTTCTCCAACCTGCTTTGGAGAAAAAGTCGCAAGAATTGTCCCGTTTCTCATTTTCCATTCCAAACGATACAAAACGTCATTGTCAGTGTCCTCTATCATAACATCATAACACCTCTCGTCTCTCAGTTGTTCGATTAAGTTTCCGTACTTGTCAAGAACTTCAAATTTGAGCAACGACTTAATGCCATAATACAACGTGCCCATTTCGTCTGATCTATGCTTCTTAGCCATTGGCTTCTGACAACGGCTAACTTCGATGTTTCTTATATATTTTGGTGACGATGGAACTATGATAACGCTTATTTCATGATCTAATAAAAGAGAAGAATTTATTAGCATCGCTTAGTGCTAGATCGATTTAATTGCTAATTTGTGATTGCGAAGTTGATAAGAAACACTCGGCCTAAAGTTCCAAAGTGTAATAAAGAGATAAGCTAAACCACAAGAAAGAGCATTTGAACTTAATTAAAATTAGTATCTATAGATAGATGGTCACAATTGTTTGAATAGGGTATAATGATATGCACAGTCTATAATAAATTATTTAAAAAAATACCATATAAATTTTATTAGCATTTCTTGGGAGATGCGCGCCCTCCAAAATCTTCAAAACCAATCCATTTTATTGTCATTTTCAAAATATTTAAAGTTCACTATAAAGTACCCATTGAACTGTTGTATAATGCTGTATTCTTATTAGCTCTTTCCAATAGTTAAGCTCATTTCATTTTTGTTTAAATCTAAACATTCAATTAAAGTTCGGAAACTGGCAAAAATTCCAAGAGCAGGTTCGAAATGGTCGATGCATGTGGGAATTGAATTTCTCAAACTCATCAAAACTTTATGAAATTCTTGTGATTACTGAATCACAAATGCCTCATGATGGAAATTCACATAATTATGCCGCATGCATCTCGTTTAATAATCACGTTTAGGTATAATAATATTTAACTAAAATTTACCCCGAAACTGCTATTATAAAAATCGTCTTACATACTGTATGAACCTGAGTGAAGTACAACTTTCTAATTAACATTTCCAAAAGTGATGCATTTAGACCTCTTAAAGCGTAATAAACAAAGTTTCGTACGGCACTATTTTAGTAAAAGATATAGACTAGTTTGGAGCTTTAATGGACCATTTGCATTATAGACTAAATTTTGATATAGACAAAAATTTCATCACAGCTTGAAAGAGGATCACAAGATTAGTAATATTCCCAAGTTTCGTTGCGAAACGTTGTAAAATGCGGTCATGCGTATAATATAGCCTTGCGAAATTTGCAATTCTCAGTCATTTTGTATTACAAACGGGAAATTGATGCCCGAACACCCGATTGGGCTGTCAATTTCCCGTGCGTAATACAAAATGACTGAAAAACGGCAAACTTCGCATGGCTATATTATCCGCATTTTACAACATTTCGCAACGAAACTTTGGAATATTACTAATTTTGTGATGCTCTTTCATGCCATGATGAAATTTTGTCTAGATCAAAATTTAGTCTATAAGGCAAATGGTCCATTTAGTCTAGGACCTGTATTGTGGGAAATCAAAGCTAATAATTTGATCTCCGGATGTTCCGAATTATCATAGTTATTACGTATGCGAAGTGTAATTTGATACCCGTCTGTGCAGATGAAGCATCGAGCGGTATTGGCCGAATTTCACATTTTTACATGCGTTCAATGCTATGGAAAGCTCTAAAACTGACAGTGCGATAACTTTCGTTGTCCTACTGAGCCACTGAGCCTGGCCCATCTTTTCAAGCGCCTGAAAGTGGTACGCACGGTGGGAAAAGACGTGTTTCTGGGAGGAAACGCAAGCGTGAGGGAGGCTACCTAACGAGAACGTACGTACGAAGTGCGATTTGGAAGAAGAAGACCATTTCCTTGCACAATCACAATGATGTCTATGACCTGTGAATGGATGTACAAGAAATTTATCAACTACAATGACAAGTCGAGCAAGCCATAAATCAAGCAACATCAACTCGAAGGCAATTAAAAACATAACTTTTAAATTCAGGTATTTATACTTTTTTCTCATACGTATGCCTTTTTAATACTCGCCTATGTGTTTTAAATTTATCAATGATATATACAGTGAACTGAATATATAACAGTTTATATACAAGATTTTAATACTACTGCATGTTCCTATTTTCACTGTATTGGGCTTATAATTGGCCCTATTGGCTATACCCATCATAGAACTCATGGCGGTATTTGCTTTCCTAGTCCTTGCTGCCATTTCATCTCGAATATTTTTCTTGTTTTATCTCTTGAATTATACTTTTATATGATTTATTACTTCATAAATTCCTATATGTATTGGGTCATTTAAACATATAGTCCCTCCCCGGGTCGCTTCATAATCCCCTTAGGATATAAAAATATAGGACCCCCTTGGGTGTGATTCTTTTAAGCTACCACATGGTTATATTTAAACCCCCTTTAGGATATCATCTTTGCCCCTTGGATATCAGTATGGAGTATGGAGACGTCGTTCGAGTAAAAGAGCTAAAAGATGGAAACCAGTGATTGTTGAGAAGAATTACTGAGCTACATTCCAATTCTGAGTGCTCATGTGTTGAAAGAGGCAAGCAAAGAGTTTCTGTAGAAAGTAAAACCATCCACATCTGATCAATATCCAACAAAAATAGCTCTAACAATTGCCAGTCAACAGTGCAGAAAAGAACGTACCACAATATTTTAGATTACAGTAGATATACAACCTTTTCAGGCTTTTGATAATTACGCAATTTGGCCTGGGAGCCTTGCTCTCATGAATCATGAGCCAATCACTTTGCATAATTTACTAATGAAAACAAGGCTCCAAGACCAAAAAGTATGTGTGGCGTAATTATCGAAAGGGTGTATTGTCAAAACTACTAAGCACTTTGATAAAAAAACAGTGCATTACTTGCTCTGAAAAACAGTAAGCATTTTAAATTGTTTATTTGTACATTCAACTAATAAATTTCTGAAATGATCTCTCTTGAACATGACTACAATTTATTAGTGAAAACATACAAATAAACAATTTTGAAGATGTTTTTAAAATGCTTCCAGAGAAATTATTGTGCTGTATATAATTCTATGGGTTTGTGTCAAAGAAACTATGGGTGAAATTTCATATAAGGATCCCAAAATGACATCACATAGGGTTGTGTATGGGCTGGGTGAGAGTAAGGGTTATATTTTGGGATTCTTATATAAAAATTCTTCTACAATTATGCCTCCACAACCAAAGATTTATGAATAAAGAGAGCAGATATATACAATTTCTATTTGTGAATGTACATAATTTATTTGTGCTATATTCAATAATTGATAAAATGGACAATTGTGAAATTCTGTCCATATCATAGAAACAAAATAACCATATTGTTCTACATAAAACCCTGACTGCCCACCCCCTTGACCCTCTAGGTCAAGGCATATCTCTATATCTGGTATAATGTCCATCAGGTGAAGGATGTTTTTCGAATTTTCCACACACGGCATGCATGGCTATGTATGTACTGACACACTGTCGATATGCTGCATGCCTCATCACTCTATTGTCATATGTTTGTGTAAACACATAGGTATCTGCCAAAACTTTATGGAGGTGGCAAATTTATCTGCGTCCAAGCAAATGTTTTGGAATGTGCAAGTGTTCCACTCTGACACAATGTATTTCTTTATAGCACACCCTCTTCCTGTCTGTTGGCATCTCTGCAATATCCACATACACAGAATGGTGCATTTGACTCTTCAAATTATTACACTGAATCATGCTGTAGCTGCTCCACCAAATCTTTTAAAACTAATGCTCTGGACTTAAAACCTTCCTTTGCTACTTTGACAAGAATCTTGTTATCCAAACCATCAATTATGTCCTAAGTAACAAAGACAACTAACAGTTACGATATATTATATAAAGGCACTTGAGTTCACACATACAAAAATTCTGTACCAATATTTCTCGACCTTGTATGGTATGGTACGACCCCTTTGAATCAATGTTTATTCATAAAGATTAAAGCATCATACATGATATAACGTATCACGTCGTATGCATTCATCACTGTATAAATATGCAGCTTGCTCATATCAAAATCAAATCAAATACAAATATTCAAATTCAGAGAAACTCATTGATATTTCAACTCAAATACAGTACATACCTTTTATATATTTTTTACATTACTCCTCGCACCACAAGTGCATGCGCTCAGCGCAATGACAGCCAGTCACTGTTCCATTCGTAGAGGTCTTTAACTTGGCCATACATTGCGATTTACAGCCACAGTTTAATATCCTCGGTTGAGCGACCATACGTGTAAACAGTGTTTAGTGTTACATAATTATCAATTGAGCCGAATTTTACAGCAATTTGGATACTTTTCTTTTTTACATTAATATCCAAAAATACAGCCTTACATTGCTAGATTCATCTAAATCAGATGTTTCGTCTTCAGGCGATGAACTGATGGCGATATAGCTTCTTTCGTTTTGTAAATTTAAAGAGTCAATCTCTTCGTTTGCCGCCATAGTAATAGAATATTAAGTTGCGTGTAACCTGAGCCGCCTGTCATATCAATCAATCAACAGCGGTATTCTCGGTCACGTGAGGTGCTGCACTGTGCCTTTAACAGGCATATTTCCCAATGATTGGAAAATCGCTAGAATTACTCCGATCTTTAAGTCTGACGCTAAAGATGAAATGACAAACTACAGACCAATATCCGTTATATCAGTAGTTGCCAAAATTGCAGAAAAGCTGATTTATAACCAAATCTATAATTATTTACATAACTATAATCTACTTTCAAACTCCCAACACGAATTTAGACCACTTCACTCAATTGTTACAGCGTTACTGGACATAACCAACGAGTGGTATACAAATATTGACATTGGGAAACTAAATGGGATTGTATTTCTGGATCTGAAGAAAGCATTCGATACTGTCGACCACAATATACTCTTAGACAAAATAGCAACTTATGGAATAAAGGGAACGGCACATCGCTGGCTGGAGTCGTATCTATCAAATAGGACCCAGTGCTGTCGTGTGAATGGCAAACTATCAAGTCCATCAATTATGAAAACAGGCATACCTCAGGGTTCTGGTTTAGGCCCATTGTTATTTCTAATTTACATCAATGATTTACCAAAATTTTTAAACGCCGGGACAAAACCAGATATGTTTGCGGATGATACCCAAATTGCAACATCAAGTGACGATATCAAAGTTATCACTGAAACATTAAATAGAGATTTAAACAATGTTGCAAATTGGCTATCCGCAAACAAATTAACTCTAAACAATAGTAAAAACGAATATATGATAATTGGTTCCAAGAAAAGGCTTAGTCAAGTGACTGCCGATCCTGCTATCAGTGTAGGTAACTTAGCAATTAAGAGAATTGAAATGACAAAATCATTGGGCCTAATGATAGACGAGTCTTTAGACTGGACCACGCAGGTCGAACACATTTCAAAAAGGTCACTTCAGGCCTTGCTATTCTCAGACGACTCCGGGATACAGTCAAATTCAATACCTTAATAACAATATACAAATCCATAATTCAACCTTATTTCGATTATTGTGCTCAAGTGTGGGGTTGCTTAGAGAAAACATTAGCAGTTAAAGTCCAAAAATTACAAAACAGAGCGTTTCGAATAATCACTTGTGAGAATTATACGGCACGATCGGCTGATATATTAAACAAGCTAAAAGTTCCGAACCTCGACAAAAGAAGAATGCAACAACTTTCAATTCTCATGTACAAGGTAAAAACAAATTGGTCCCCGATTACTTGTGTGATATGTTCACAAATGTTGGTGATGTACACGACCATAACACAAGACAGTCGGGAGCCGATTTGACATTGCCTAAACCAAAAACAAATAGTATGAAAAATGCATTCTCCTATAGAGGTGCGGAAGTCTGGAACTGCCTTCCTGCATCGGTAAAAGCATCAAGAACTATTGCTAATTTTAAATCTAACTTGAAGCATGCAAATTAACATCAAGTGATCCTGCCATTGTTTCCATCTACCTAAAATAATTTTCTTGTAATTATTTCTTATTTCTGTTTGTGTGAGCACGGCCGGTTGGAAGAAGATCACCTTTTTTTCTTTTTATATCTTGTACATAATTAATTTTAGTATAGGTGAAATTGTACCGTGTTGAAATATAGTTCATAATAATAATAATAATAATAATAATAATAATAATAATAATAATAATAATAATTATGCCGCATATATGTCATGCAGACTGCGCATGTGTTAAATTATTGGTGTCGTCCAATTTTCATGACAGAATTATGCCCATGCATGTTTAACGATATTTATGTAAAATACAAGTAACAACAGCTGATATTCAAAAAAACTGTGTTATAAACGAGTGTTGTAAATTAGTAGCTTAGGTTCAGTATTGAATACGTGTAGTAAAAAATTATATACGCATGCATGTCAATAATCCTATGATAAAAAAAAATATATAAGTAAACTGGAACATTTGAATAACAGGAAATTTGCGAACGTTAAACAAAAACAGGAACGTCTAGCATTTTAGTAAATAAGACGGAATGTACGTACGTAAGGGACGTTTGTGGGTTGACTTGTGGTCAACCAAGCAAGGAAGATGTGCATAATGTGCGTCACACATTGAACTTCCTCTGGGAAAAAGTTCCCACAGCATGATTGTCAAAGAAGAAAATGAGTGGTGAATGTGTTGAAATGAATTGTGAAAGATTGTGAAAGAGTGCGAAAGTTTGTGTGAGAAATTGTAAAGTGGTCGTATATCGATAGCAGTGATCAGTCACATGTAACGAATGATAATAGAATAAAATTTGTGAAAACCGAAACCATGCAGTCCCATTGTATTCGAGAACCAGCAAAGGAATAAATCTCACGAGAAGAATTTATAACACGTGGTCCTAACAAGTAAAGAAAAATTTTATAAGCTATATACAACCTTCAAAATAACAATGCCGAGCTGTCGCCTATATTTAATGACTCCTAAGTGCATGCGTAATAAACAAAGTTTTGTACCCTACTGTCTTATACTTGCACGAAAATTGGTCAGAATTCTATTATATGCTGTTTACTAACGTTAGGAAAATCTTTCAACATATAGCAGCATTTAGAAGAAATATTGCTTGACGCATGACATGAATAATTATCCGAGATCATAGGCGTACCGGGGGGGGGGCGGTAGCCCCCCCAGTTTTTTGGGCAGTTGGGCAATATTCGATTATCAGTCGGGCAATTTTGGTTTATTATAAAAATAAATCGGACAAGTTCTGTGAATTTTTTCGAAAATTTAGTCAATTTTGTGGCCAATGTAGTGTTTTTTTGGAAAATTTATGTGATGCTCCGAAAATTTGGTATGTCCGGAAAATTTTTTTGACCCCTTAAATGGTACACTGACCGAAATTTTTTTGGCACTAGTCGGGCAAAATCACGAAAAGTCGGGCAATTTTCTTTCCGCCCCCCTAATTTTTTCCTTCCGGTACGCCCATGTCCGAGATTGGCAGAAATGCCATAAACCATTTCTATGTATTATACTAAAGTGATTCTTCAAACACTCATTAATTATTCATAAGCTTATTGGCAAATAATGTCAACCGTAATATGTCAGGTATAGTGGCTTTAGATGTGATAAAACACTCCTAATTAGTATATTATTTATATAAAGAATACTAATAAGGCAGTATATCTATTAAATTTGTAGCCGTGTTTGAAGCTGTTTAATAAACTCGCAAGTCGTGTTTTATTAGGCCTAAATCAGGGCGTATAAAACACGGGCGGGGAAACGCGCTGATAGTGCGCTGATCCATGTGTGATGCGGATGGGACTGGCGCGAGCGCGCTTATTTTTCAAAATGAAAAAAAAGGAGCGAGAAATGGCAGAAAAAATTACAGAAAGTTTTATAGGAAAGCATCCTTATACAAGAGATAAGAATTGCTTTTTTAAATGAATTTTATAGTGTCCTAATGCTAGATTAATGGACAATAAATGTCTAAATTAATTATCGACAAAAATGACTAAACAAAAATTATATTCCAATTTTTTCTGTCGCAAGTGTAAATTTTTTCATCAAAATTTTCGAGTTTGAAAGGGCGCATTTTAGCTTTAAATTGGCCTTTCACCATGGGTAAGTTCGCAAAAGTTATTTTGAAATCATCATCCTCTTCGCCATTTAATGGCCATTCTAATACATATAGTGAGCGAATGGAATTTTTTGGACTTTTTGCTATATCTAATGTTTTCTACAACCTATACTGTACTTCTCTCGCCCGGCCCGGAAGAAAGACTTGCAAATTTAAAACAACATATTAACAAAAACATAATATATATTGCAAGTGCACAAAAAAAAAGGAGTGTCCAAATTGAATGCAAAATATCATTTCTAGCACCAGTATTTTAAAAGTCAAGAGATTTTTTGGCTGTACTAATTTTATTTTCATGAAGTTAAAAACCTTTTGTACATTAAAAGTATAGCTATTAATTTTTGTTGCTAGCAACAGAATAAATGTTTAATTACGTTCTCAAAAAACCGTCAAGTGCATCAGTGCATTGATAATTAATAGGCCTACTCTGGGGCGGTAAATCGCCTTAAATCGCTGCGATATAATGCGATTTTGGGCGATTTTAGGCGATTTAAGGAAAAACTGGGACTTTCAAGCACTGCAATTTTAGGCGATTTAAGGCGATTTAAGAGAAAATTCTAAATTTTAGGGATTGCAATTTAGACCTGTGTTTTCAAGGTAATTGAATTTTATATTTTGCTTCGGTTTCCTCCCACAAGGCAAAATATGGCAGGGTGGGTTAGAATAAACACAGTTAGAAAAGTGATATCATATTCTCATTGTTATAAAGATATACAGTCTAGACTAACATAAGTAACCCTAATACTTGATGTATGCGGGGACTGAAAAGCCCCAAAGGGGAGTGAGCTGAATAATGTAATGTTTTCACACATATGCATTGTATGAAGCAAAATACAATTATTAGAACATGTATGTACATTTTATATAAAGCTAGGTTAATAATTATTGTATTTAATCCGAATCATATATAAAGCTCAATATTCGTGAACTTTTCATCCATTGTCTTATTTAGAAGCCATTGGAGTTCATCTTGTGGGGTCATTTGGTCATGCATTCATTGCTACATTATATACCACAAATATTGTAAACAGTTAATATATATACTCTACTTAAGGGGCATGTACGGTACATAATTGCAAAATACCAACCTATAACTAAACTACACATGTCTTAGGCTAAACGTTAATATTATTAATTGCAAAATATAATAGATATTTGATTTCCAAAAGAACCATAGCCCACAGGGAGTAGAAACGCACAATATATTTATACAGTTACAATAAGCTATATTCCTATAAATTACCTTGTCACCCTTGTAAGTGAAATTGTCTTGTTTTGTATCTTGTCAACACTTCTTTATTTAGCTTGCATTTTATTTAAACTGTTTCAACAAACATGTTTTATAAAATTATGTTTGATATCTATATCCAGAAACAGTTTGAAACAGTATTGTCACAGATGAGGTACAGATGTGAATCTTCCGTCAAATTGCTGATTGTTTTGTGTCACACGGAATTCTCACTTTCGGCGACCGCTGGCAAGTGTCGTTCTGAAATTTAATAAGGAAAGAGATAGGAAAACGCCGTTCGAAAGACGAAAAATTGTTTTTTTAAAAAATCTACGCTACCGACGGCTATTTTTGGAATTAATTCTTCAAGAGTATCGGTAAGCGATCACTTTTATTGATTTCTTTTTATTAAAAGTGTTAACATAACATTTTATTTAGCAAAAGTTTGTTTTTTTCCCTATCTATTCCTTATTAAAATCGTGAAATACACTTGCTGGGAATTTCAGATGCTCATGTATAACAACAAAACAGCGAATGATATAAATTCCTCAAAACATAACTCTGGCATAAAAAAAACATGAATACTTCTATAATATGTATAGTTTTATTTCTCTGCATTATCAAAATTTAATAAAATAGTGAATTACAGGTAAACTACGTGAACCGTTCCTCTTTTGAGTTTCTAAATTGATTGCAATTTTCCTCATTACTTTTGGAATTTAAAAAACTCCCTGGCAAATTCCTTGAGGGAATTTGTAATGTTGCTAAAAGCCAAAAAACTTTCCTCAGTTCCTGTTAGAAGTTCTTAACTTCCTGTTACAAGTTCCTAACTTCCTGTTCTGTTCTGCGTGTTGCAATTGGCTAACAAAAATAATCGACCAATAACAACGCTCAGAACAGAACAGGAAGTTAGGAAATTAAAACAGGAAGTTAGGAAAATTTATAATGAAGTTTGGAGTATTGCAACAGCCGATAGGAACATTGCAAATTCCCTCAAGGGATTTGCAAAGAGTTTTTCAAATTTGCAAAGCTAACGAGGAAAATTCCAAATGAGTTATGAAGTCAAAAGGGGAACGCTTCACGTAGTTTACCTGTAATACAATTTTAAAGTTTATTTAATTGGTGTGACATAATTTGCCGTGAGATTCACATCTGT